TAACCTCCTACCCACCCTATAGGTAGCCCTTCCTTCCACCCTCACCCTACCCCACCATTCTTAAATTTTTATCCTGGAAATCATTAACTTTTAATCATTTATCCTCAAACCAGAAAGAACAAGGGGCCATTTTATTCCTTCAGAATCCAAGTATATTGGGAAGTTATCAAAGATAATACGCTGCAAAAGTCTTTGGCATAGCCCTTGTATTTGAAAGTGACATGTCTCTAACACGAAAAATCCATCAATCATGGAGTAAACCAAGTTCGATTTCTGATTAGACCAACTCTATTTACCTCCCATGAGAGGTAAATCCAATAGATGTTACACTCATCCAAATCCTCCCACAACGCGCCCCTCTCTCTGCCCTAACTCTGCCATATACTCCAATGAACATTCAAACATATAGCACTATTATCACAGTAGATTAATTGACGAGTTTTGTTTGTATTGATATCACAGTGGTGATCCATAAAGGATTATGCCTAAGTAGATTAGAAGTTACAATTCTTTTAAATATATAGCACTATTATCCTATTTAGGAATCTATTTATAGTTTTGGTAACTTCAGAATTTTAATCTTTTTAGTATTTAGATTTTTTTTTGTTTTAATATTCCTATTTGTATTAAGATTAATATTCCTATTCTTTCTAGTATCAATGTTCACATTTTTTAAGAAATAAAATTCCAAATTTAGTTTTGGTATTTCCTAAACTAGTTTAGCAATATATAAATATGATTATTGCCTCTTGAGAAGAGTTTATCAATTTTTTGGTTGTTGATGCAATCAAACCATTAAATATGATGTTTAAGATTTCTTAAATGTCGTATATAAGAAACCGTAGGTATGTTGTCTAGGTTTTTTATCCCAAAATCCCTAATTGGACAAATCAACTCTATTTGCCCTACATCAAGTGGATTATGCAATCCTATTGGTTTACCACTTGCCTTTAATATATAAATACTATTAAGACCCATTCCCTTTTCATGTTTGTTCCCTTCTTTCCAGGATGTAATCCAGGTAAGACTATTGAGATCCTATGAGCTATATTATTTGACTTGATAAATAACATTTTCCCTAATAAATATACCTGATATTTTTCAGCACCTCCAAATACTTGAACTAGACTTTATTTCTAAGGGAGATCACTCATGCCTTCATCATTCCTCTTTCTTTTTCTGCACATCCTTTTTACTAAATATACAGTGGCATTATGCTGAGTCCATCAAACATATCTCAAGCCATCCACTAAACCTGTAAAACTACTCTGGGAATCATTCTCACACCCTGTAATATCTAATATAAATCATGCAATAATAGCTGACAATTTTTTGAACTCAGTATCCAGTGCTTCACCTGATACATGTTTTTTATATGGTAGAATGAAAATTACCTCTAGGGGAGTTAAAGGACATTTTCCATTGAGCCTGATGGCTCCTGGTCGTATAACTCGACCAGGTTTTGTAAATTTCCCTTTCCAACCTCTTTCTCTTGCGGCAATCATGTCTCGTTTTTCTTGTTCCCCACCATCAAACACACAACATGAGAAAGCAACCATATCCTGTGCATAACAAAGGGTGTTATAACTTACAAGCTTGAAAATAAATCAAATGGTCATATCAGCTGACGATGGAAGATAAAATATTATTATCCAAGTAATATTTCTTGTTTAGAAAAGTAAAACACGGACCTCCTCAAAACGAAGATGCACAGAAATGTACTTGCCACCATTATCAATGCTGCGTTCCTTCATTCTTGAAACCAAAGTTTCTCCTAACGTTAATATAGGGTTTGAAAATCGTAAAGCTTCATAGTTTGCCAAGCACCTAAGTCTCTGGACAGGTGGAGGAGCATCAAATGATAGTCTATTTGCAAAAGGAGAAATCCTTATAACCCTGTATATTAGTCAGTAAGTCAATAAATCACCTAAACAACACTGTTATCTATTCAAAAATAAAGGTAAATCTTGAAATGTGCCAATGCATAAATGGTTATCCACAGATTCAAAGTCGACTGGTCTGATAATGCAGATTTACTATAGCAGGAAACAATAACTAGAGACCAAATAAATAGGCAAACTTAAATTGAAAACACAAATTTCCAAAACAAGAAAAGATAAAACTGATTTAACTCACTTTTCTTCAAGCAACTTTGGTAGGACAGAATCCCTGTAGTACAGGATGGATGACCATGCTTTTATTTTAAAGTTGAAGACATTGCTCATGTTATGGTCAAAACGTTCCATTAAATATTCGGGAATCTTATCAACCACTTGTACATCATTCTCCAAGGTTTGTACAAAATAATCCTCATCATAGATGTCCTTGAATTTGCTGCATGTAAAACTTTTAGTCAGATGATTAGTCTATTAGAAAGTCAAACAAAATGAAAATTTAATGACTGAAATATCCTTACGGCAAATTATGTACGTTCTAACAGTTAAGTCTATTTCATTTTCCGTCGTAAAAAACCTGTATATATAGGGTTGTAAAATTTAATAAAAAACACATTATATCATTCTTAATATAAAATCAGAGCCTAGGTCAAAGAAACCCTAATCTCAATTACAAATCTTATTCGCCCTTCATTTTCGAAATAGAAAAGGAAAAAACCTAAAAGGGTTAGGTCAGCCTTCATATCTAACCACTGTAGATCAGCTTCCCACAAGTGTCCCTTACTCCAAAAATTCTCTTAAAACACTTCTGCAGTTTTACTGAACAGTAAGTATCAAAAACCATCTACTCCCTCAGATATTAGGGTGTGTTGTCTTTATTCATACTTCATTCCATCAAAGAGGAAAACTTGATCCCCAAACCTTGAAATTTGTATTTGTGGGTACTCCTCTCAAAAAGGATACAAATGTTACCATTTGCCCAACCCAAAATTTTATGTGTTTGCGAACGTCACATTTTTTAAACATAAATCTAACTTTATCCAACTTTAATATTGAGGGAGAGTCTAATTAGAAGTTATGAATACAGAATTTTTTATGAACTTTAATCTACCGCCTTTGCCGCACACCTTAAAACCATCGCCACAAGAAAACATTCAGAATACACGAGAACAAAACCTTCAAAGTACGTCACTTCAAGAGATCATACCAAATCTTAAGTTTTCTCAAGTGTATCAAAGAGAAAGATGTCGAGTAATGAGCCAAAGCTAGTCCAAGGATCCGACCTGAATCTTGGAATTGAGTTAAGTCCCGGAAAACTTATACAATCCTCAAACAATAATATACCTTTTACACTTTGTAAAGGTACAAGAAAATGCACTAAATACCATCTATAACCTATTTCACAATTTGTGTCATTTGACAAATGTTCATTAACTACAGAAATTTCTTCACAAGTTTAAATAATTATATCTATAACATAGTATCTGAGCGATTATCCTGTAAAAAATGAAAAAATACTATGAGTATGAAATAACTAGACTTGGAAAATAGTAAATTTACCCTAAGGCAAAAACCGGTTGACGTAAATGGGTCTTGATAATCAAATATAAAGTAAATTGGACAGTCAAAAGATATAAAACGAGACTAGTGGCAAAGGATTATACACAGACATATAGGATAAACTACCAGTAGCCAAAATAAATACTGTACGAATCTCGTTGTCATTAGATGCCTACTTTGATTGGCAACTACAGCAATTTGATAAAATAGTATATATATATATATATATATCTTCATGCATGGAGATTTAAAAGAAAAAATTTACATGGATATTCTACCAAACTTTGACAAAAAAATAAACCAAATAACGTTGTAAACTAAAGAAAGCATTGTATGAACTTAAATAATCACCAAGAGCATGGTTTGACAGATTCATTAGAGTAATGATACATCTGGGATTTAAGCAAGTTCAAGGAAATCACACTCTATTCATCCACTCAGAGAAAGGGGAAGTTACAGTTCTCTTAATATACGTTGATGACATTATTGTAATAAAAAATGATGAGTAGGAACAACTAACGCTAAAACAATATTTGACAAAAAAAATTTGAAATTAAGAAACTATGCAAGTTGGAGTATTTTTGAGAATTGAAGGGTTTTTTTTTTTTGAAATAAAAAGAAAGTATTATTATGCACAAGATACCAAAGAGGTACCACCTATATACATAATAGTTATAAGTTAATATAGTGGTCAATGACTACACCAAATTCATCTCAATTTTTGATGTCATGACTCAACAAAATAAAGACAAAAGTATGAATCCATTTATCTCTAATTTTTGTAAAGTTAGTCTTTATACCCTCAAATGCTCTCTTGTTCCTTTTTTTCTACACCACCCAAAAAATAGCAAGTGGAATAAAAAATAAATCACTTTTTTTTTTACAAAAACCCACTCACTCACACTACTAGCCATAACCCAATTTAATCCTAACAGCCCAAAAACAAAGGTCCGCATACTGTATGTTACAGGGTAAGATAAAAATAAATGATTGCAGGTTTCCTCATCTGCAAGAAATTCCTAGTAAGCACTAGTCATCAGCTTGTTTTGACTACATCCCTGCCCTTTGAGAATTGAAGTAATATGTTCAAAATTTAGGATTTTTATTTCTCAAAAGAAATGTATTCATGACCTAATAAGAGACCCTGGCAAACTAGCATGTAAACTAACTAACACACCTATTGATCCTAATCACAATACAAGTTCAGAGAAACTTTTTGGTTATTCTCCTTTCTTTAAACAACCCAAGTTCTGGAAAAGGCACCATAAAAATTATATGTTCAATATTTCAAAAAAAAAATTTTATGGCCAACACTAACAACCACCAAACGAAACAAAAACTTCGACCATGTTGCAGATTAAACTATGCATGTGAAGATGATTATCTGTGCCTGTGGCAAGACTTTGACAGATTTAGAGAGTTTATGATATAAGAAAATAAAACGCACGCATGTGACTAATGCATCATGCAATATAGCTTCATTTAATTTCATCGATATTTTTGTCAGCAAGACTTCACATTCTGTTACTGTCAGTTAAGTAAGAAAAATTCCTAGCACATATTTACCAAGTTCAAATGGTGAAACAGCCACCTGCACAATAACGCCAGTAGACTAGTCATTTCAAAAAATTATCAAAACACAAGGTCAAAGTTAGATCATATGTGCCAAAGCATCACAATATAGATATAACGTTGTGGAAATGTAATTTTTCAGATGTATCTTAGCACAAAAATGCATTATGCATTGCAACATAATGCATCTATTTTTGAGAACATGATGAAAATCAAATAATAATAAGTTTTCAGTTCTCGCAAACCTAGGATCTCTCCATATGCTATGATAATGAAAGTTGGGAATTACAAGGGTTGCATTAAGGTAGCCAGCCACAGCAACAGCATTGCATATCTACAAATCATGACCACGTAGAATGAATAGAAGCCAATAAAGATGTGAAACGGACAAGCTTTTAAAACAAGAACAGACACCAAAAATTTTACAGTGAAAAAAAAAAGTCACCAAAAACAATAGAACTATAAACATAACAAATTTAAAAATGAGGGTACCAACCGATGTTCGCTGCTGATTTAGGCCACCATTTGCCTCAACATATATGTAACCATTAGACTCAGGTAAGCCTAAAACAATAAATACAGAAACCATGGATCAAAACTTTGAGGAATGTACAGAAACATAAATAGTAGATACTATTTCTTACACACTTATAGATTCCTATGTAAAAGAAAATTATTAACAGAAGCATGCTTCCAGAATAGGTCTACCAAATAAACCAGCAGCATAGAAAAATATGTTCTAAAAGTGAAACAAACATCAACCAGAACAATCAAGCATATTGTGTTTCTGTTTTGCAGCAATCCAAGAAAGAAAAGCACAATTAAAGTGAGATTTTGGAAAGATGGTCTAATGATGCACCTTTACAGCAATGCTTCCCCGTTATGTTCTCTTTGGCTAGAGAAAAGAGATAACGTCAGTTTAGGATGTTGATATCCCGAGGGACCTGATGATTAGAAGGA